CGTCACATTATAATGCCCCGATGGCTGAAAGGGCGAGCATGTTTGGTGGGACGGGGACTCGAACCCGCGACCCTCAGATTGCGAGTCGAGCACCCTAACCACCTGGCCATGCTGGGCCAATATAAATAATAATAAACAAGTTGAAAGAAAGCAACATTGTGTGTTTCAGTCTTCTTGTTATAACACCAAAAACCAGAAAATTATCCATATTTATTATTTCAATTATCAACAGTCTTAAATTTTTTAACCCTTTGCATCTGGTCCTGCCATATTTGTTTGTGTCACAACCTTTTGCAGTGTTACATTTAAAATTAAACTCTATTATCAACATACTGTCAAAAATCTTGCTGTGAAAATGTAGTTTATATTTTAACTTTTTATATTATTTAAGTTCTGGCTTCCCAATTTCAAAATGAAATATTTAAGAAATGATCTATCTTCATTTTTCTGTCAAGTGTGTGTTCTCTGATTGTTCCACTTTAGAATTTTCTAGCTTCAATAATAGGCTCCTAAAGTTTCTAATCAATTATAAACACAAATTACACATAATTACAAGCAAGAGTTTAAAATATAAACCCCATACCTTCTTGATTTACTTAGATATCAACAAATATGTTAAATCCACCAGAAAAGCCCCTCCCATATCAGAATTTTGAGATTGTTCACTAATCAACTTTACATGGCCAAGGAAATGTTTATAAATGACAGAAAGACAAGATTTTATTCAACATAAACTTGAATCATTGTTTAGTTTTCATGCCATAAGTTGTTACTGAGCCAAACTGATTGGTTTGCAGTGATCATATTTTGCTGCTCTAAGTGCTTAAGGAATTTGTTTGAACCTATTTATAGCCTACTTAAAAAGCTGGATAAATTACAGTAGTTTTGGGATGTTCTATTCTAGTAAATAACATATTTTTTCCATTTAAAGCTGCATATTTGAAAGCTACATTATTTCTTTCTGGACACCCAAATTTGTTAAACTGAACAATGCTCATGGAAGAATGTCTTCATTTTTTACCCGAGTGTGTACCACCTGGATTACGCAGTAAGCAATACAAATCCTCATTTTTATGTATATATTTAATTTATTTTGATATTTTTTTACCAAAAGTAAATAAAATGTAAAAATTAAACTTCTTAGCTTAGCCTGACAAAACCTCACAATCATACACTTTTTGTATTACCTCTATGGAAAACAGCTAATGGGCTCCCACTGTGATTCACTACTTTTCATGTGTCAATGATTACTTAAGTGAGTACAAAAGACAGCAATAAAATAGTTAAATTAAAGGGAATATCAAAAGGTTAACAATTCAAACTGTAACTTGGAACTTGAATACTGAAGTCAGTTCAGAAGAAAATATAGCATTACTCATCGTATTTCAGATTTTTTGACTTTTCATTTCACCCTTCATTGATGATTTTGCTACAGTTGGGGTATAGAAAATAATAAACAAAATATAAAGTTGTAACTGGAAAAAACTTTTGATACTCATTTAGGAAATTCTAAAAGTTATGCATATAAAACATGAAAACTGGAAAATGAAAAGAAGTATTTTTTTCATAGCATGAAAATCACCTTTCACTCAGAAATTCACAGACACATCTTTAGTATAAAAACGTTATTAAAAAGTCTGACTTTTTTTGTATAAAACAGACTTGTAATGTTTACTCAACTCTCTCACTATGGGCTCGGTCAATAGAGCCAAGTTAGTGACCCAAAATTGACCTTTAGAGCTTTCACACTATAACTTTTATTCTGTTTTGTGTATCTTTATGAAATTTCGCAAGCTTTCAGTAAACACTATATGTCTTTTGTAGACAGAGTATCAGAATTTTTGATGAAGTATTTTTACTAAATATTTCTCCATAAATAAATGGAATCAAAGTGTTGATTGATCCAAGTTGATTGATCAAAAATACTTTTTTCCATCTAAAACTTGTCAAACTTCATTTGTATAAACTCTAAAACCTCCTAAATAAATTTCAAACATTTTTTTTCACTAAAACTATATTTTATCAGCTATTTTCTCTACCTAACTCTATACAGGATTGGTCAATTCAACCAACCTTGCAACTGCCATAAAAAATATGAAATAAATTTAAATTACCTTTTTTTCTTTTTGAAATGGCTTCAAGTTGTAACAGGATACTACATTTGCTTGTCCTAAATAGCTTTAAGCTTCTAACAGTATACCTCTATTTCTATTTAAATTTTGTTTTATTGCCCCTTGAGCTATGTCTAAACAATTATCCTGCCATACAAGCTGTAAATCACCCAGTGAATGTGTAGCTCACATTATCTTATCGAATTACGTAATGCAAGAGCTACTTGTGAGCTGCTCACAAACATACCTTGTGAAAAATTATTTTTCTTTATCTTAACTTATCTAACCTAATAAGTTTCTAATTATTACATTTTAGTTATTTTTAGAATAAGTAATAAAGAATACACATGAAAAACAAGAAATATAGTATTTATCTGGATCTTCTGTTTTTTTCTGTTGACTGAGGATGAAAATTAACCCTACTTTTCTATACTAATGGTACTACTACACTAAATTTTTTATGTAATTTAGTAATGCACTTAAGAACACAGGAAAGTAACATGAAAAAGCAGACACTGTCCTATAACCATCAATTTTTCTGGCTTTCTGACTATGCAATAAGAGCCATTAAAAATCCAGCTAAGTTCGTTGATGTGTTTCCTGTTGGAATAAAGTTTGAATTGGAAACAAAGTGGACAATTCTCTGTATAGAAAACAACGTAATATAATACTTGGCTTTCTATTGGTTATAAATAAAATATATTAAAACATCAGAGAAAACTACTGGCAACAATTTGTGAAAGAGAGGATGTGACAGGTGGGCATGGCAAAAAGGGTCTGATTTTCTAGTTTATGGCTTTGTAACCAAATTAGATTGAAGGCTGTAAAAATTATGCTTTGCATGAGTAATAACTAATATTATAATGACTAATTTGCCTTAAATTCTGTACTTCTTGGATGGGTGGTAAATAAATTAGAGAAGGGGGAAATCTAGAGAGCAAATGTCACAATTCTCATACTAGGGGAGATTGAGGATTTTTAAATAATATTTTCATATAAAATTAAGAACTTAAATCTTATATAATATTACAATTTGATTTATTAGCTACATTTTGATACCAAGTTTATTTGTATACCATGATAATAAAGTAGTTTAATGAAATTTCAAATATAACTCAGTAAAACATTGTGACATGTGCAGTAAAATGTACCCAAACAGAAAGAGTTCAAGCTTGCCAAATTCCCAATTATAGTAAATATTAGCATGTAAAGCTTCACAGGTACTAGAGTTGGTCAATTCAACCATGACTGTGAACATATGGTTATACAAAGATTGTTAGAACGTTTTACACTGGTAAGTGAAGTACAATTAATGATATTACTAGTAAGGAATGAGAGCAACTACCATTCACCTTGCTAAGTGGAGTGCTAGGACTACTAGCAATTTGACCTGTATCCTTGATGTGGATTTTCCAAGTGGCAACTCCTGGAAAAGTCTTTTCAGCAGCATGACATCTCCATAAGCACTAGCATTCATCCAAAACAAGATGTTTGATTTAGAAAGGGATTCATTATTCTAATTAGTAATGATTTAAAAGTGAATATCTACAAAATTCAGTCACTGAATATTTTGATTAGCCACGCAGGATCATTATTCAGCTACTGCATATAGTTGCTATACACAAGACTATAGGTGCTGTAATAATACATCTGTAGATACAATAATGATTACTGTAAATGATGTTTTAATATTTTTTTATAACTATTACATACTACACCCTACAGATTCAGAAGTGATGCTATAATATTGATACCAGTTAACTCCTCAATCCTCTTAATAGTACAAATACTGTCTATAATATCTGTTGAAGATGTTTTTACACTAATCTGTCATATCAATTAGATAATAATGGCTCAGTCTACCTCTTATTTTAATCACTCCTTTTGGTTCATTTGATGTCTGGGAAAACTTTTACTGATATTTAAACCTAGACAAGACCAAATGAAATAATAAAGTCCAATTTGAAATAATGCAAGAAAATAATAGGTGCAAGGCTTGTTTTATATTCTTTTATCACTTTTGGGAGATAAATGATCATTAAAAGCTTTGTATTATTTATTTCAGTCATTTCTATTGGTTAAAAAAGTTCTGAGGAATGCCATGTTTCATCACTTTAACCTAGGATAGGCTGAAGAAAAAGGTATTTTTAAGGAAAATATTGTATATTTTTTCATTTGCCTTTAAAATCTCATTCTCACTGCTGGATACTTCTGTGCACTCTAATGATATCATAGTTTTGTAATTTTTGGACACATTTTAGAAAGATATTATGTTGCTTTGTAACAAATATTGTTGTGTTTTCTTTGTAAACACATTTTATAAACTTAGACAATGGGCATTATTGTTGTATAAATGTATTTGACATCAGAGGTTCCAAGTTGAAATTATTACAGATAGATATGAGATCAGAAGTTGGTCACATGCTCTAACACTTCATGTAAAAAAAAAAGAATGAGAGATAATATCAACAATTAACATATAAATATCTTACACATAAATAATTAAGAAATTAGGACACCATGTAGAGAAAAAAACTAATTTTTCATTAATAGAAAGTAAAAGATTAAGTAGATTGAAGTAGCATGTATGAAAACTGTACTGAAAATACAAAGTGTTATGGTTGATAATGTTTGACACACATAATTGGAAAGGACACTTTCATCACAACCATGGCATGTACTCACTTGTATTAGGGTTGCTGCTGCTGGTATTTGTCTGTTAAAGTGCTTCTGCCTCTGTTTTTGTTGTACTTTTAAGGCAAACCCTGATCCAAGGATCCCCTGAGTAAAACAGTTTAAAACTTTCAAAATTGACTAGGTAATGAAATTAGAATCAAATATAATAGTTTTTAATTTTATTATTTCACCGAGTTGTGCTACACTACCATGAGACCTAAATTATGATTTGAAGCATATGTCCTAATGTTACATATGCTTCAATGTATCAAAGCCTGCATGGAATAGGACTAAAGCAATAGCTATATACACTTACTCATATTATCCATATTCTTGACAAAAACAGATATAAAAGCTCAATTCTGTGAGACATCTTTCATTGAACACTACACAGTATAAGTCATACAGTTTTAGCTGGTAAGATTCACATTTGTATTATGAACCATTGGGTTAAAGACAGGGCCAAATGCACCACAAAATGGTAAGATAAAAGGTTACAGGATGCAATCTCTATAATGTGTGGTGTTAATGATGCCCATTCTGCAAGCTGTAGAAGTCTACCAATACTTTTTCTTGCCAATAAAACCACCATATGAGTCATGTTTTTAAATCAAAATAGAAATGGCTTTATTCCACACTTTTCCCACTGAGTACATTAGCATGTGCTTATCTTTTTGCAGGATCAAATGAATCACTTGTAACTAAAAAGATCATTTCTTGGTACTTCATTGGTCCACTAGATGTGTTCTTGACATCAAAACAAAAGAACTGAGCTTCTTGTGAAGCCTGTTTCTAACAGTCTGTACACTGACAGCATTCCATTGTATTGCAAAAGATACCTTATGATTGTAGCAAGCAAACCAGAATGAACAGTGTTGTTAATATTTTGTCAAATCCAACTATCCTAGTAATTGTACCCATAGTTTGGAGAAGCAGTTGCATGTTCTGCTACTGACAGTTTAAGATACTTGCAGCTACGTTATGACAGCCTGTTGTAATTGGTTGGATGTTACTCATCCAATAGCTGAAGTATCTATGAGACTTCTATGAAGTCCAGTCGTGGTTCATCAACAATCTGGAGCACTTTCACTCTTTGATCCTCTTCAAAGCAATTAATGTGACACGACTATGTGAAACCAGTATATGTAGCACAGACCGAAAGATCAATAATTTGTATTTCAGAATACTGAGATGTGTGATTTGAAACCAGTATACGTAGCACAGACCAAAAAATCAATAATTTGTATTTCAGAATACTGAGATGTGTGATTTGAAACCAGTATATGTAGCACAGACCGAAAGATCAATAATTTGTATTTCAGAATACTGAGATGTATGATTTGAAACCAGTATATGTAGCACAGACCGAAAGATCAATAATTTGTATTTCAGAATACTGAGATGTGTGATTTGAAACCAGTATATGTAGCACAGACCAAAAGATCAATAATTTGTATTTCAGAATACTGAGATGTGTGATTTACATAAGAATGCACTGGGGGTGGGGTGAGAAAGATTATTTACTCTGGTTTAACCCTGTCTTGGCTATATAATTATCACATGCACTACACATATTCTAAGAGAGCTCTTATCTCTATTATAGTTAGAAAATATCCTTTATAAAATTAAAGCTGTTGGAAAAACTTAAAAGAAAACTGAAATCAAAACATTTTTTTGCATATTATATATATATTCAGTTTCATCTGGTAACAAAAAATAATAACAGAGCAGCATGTGCACCACAAAATTTATATTTTGATACACTAAATAACTTCAACTATCATAAGTTTGCTAAGAAATGTAAAAAACAATTTATTTGATGATACTATCATAAAAGCATACAATATAAAAATACTTTAAAAGAAACTTATACTTATGTTTATGTTTACTGGAAATTCACTCAGGCAAAATAACTAAAGCATTTTTAATAGCTTTCAAAAGGTTAATTTGAAATCTGTTGCACCAGATATCCAGTTGCTTGTCTTTAACTTCCAAAACAGTCCTATATTAAAAAACAGCTTGGTTTGATAAAACAAAAATGTAGGATTTACTAGTAAATGTTGAATCTTTTACTACAGAATTAAAGTTAAATATTTAGTTAGTTCAAAATGCAAAACATGTCAGATGCTGGTTTTACAGGGTAGACTGTTGAGTTTATCCTGTTTATAAAAAAAAACACAATTATTTCCTCTTGCTCAAAATATTGTTGTTAATCAGTTTTTCCTTCCTAGACGTGTTTGAAACAATAATTCTTTTGTGTAGTAAAACTAGCTACCACATCCTGCTGACTACAACTGTTCCCCCAACTCTTATTTTGACCATAGTTAAGACACCACGCGTAATTAAATAAGTTCTAAACTCGTGTTTGGAAATCAATGTAAAAAGGTAAACTTAAAGAAGACTTATTAATTGGTAGAAAACCTGTATTGGTTAAATAAATATCTAGGTTTTTCTTTTTATGGGTTCTCTAATAATACAACCCTTTCATGTGAATTTTTTCCCTTTTGTTTAGGCTGTTATTCATCATATCATATATTTATTCAATTACAATTTCTTGTTAATTCAAATTTTCTATAATCTAATAATGTCAAAGCAATGCTGAATACATTTCGTGCACTTTTAATTTTCAATGATTTTTTTAAAAACAGTATGGAGAAACGTGAAGGCAATCTTGTTAACTACTACCCTATTCATCCAAGAGTATTTACACAGAAATTCAATCGTAGCTGTACATAAAGGAATATGGTAGTAAAAAGCAATATTTGAGTTCTATGCAGACTTTCTCAGACGAGTTCAGAGCAATGGATGTATTAAGGAAAAATTAAGTTAATCTCATGCTTTTGTTTGAATAATTTTGGTTTACATGAGCACTGTGGATTGTTAAACATATTAGATAAACCCTTCTTCATCAGCACTGAAATTCAGCATTAAGAGGTGCACTTGATCAATAACAATGCTCAAATACAATTTTAAAATAATCAAATATTCTCTACATCAATACAGTAACTTAAGGTGCTTAACTGTTGGAATAACATATAGGGTCAAGTGTCTAATGACTTCAAAGTTTTACATTTAAAAGGATGTAACGTGATTTATTAGACAACCTCACATATTTCCAATCATCCATTGGCAACAAGTAGTACTTAAAATACCATTTGCTGTTGAGATAAGCAATGTTCAGACTGGTTGATGATTGTAACAGTATTTGTTATTTCATTAGAATGATTTCATTAACACAGAATCTAGCTGTCTTCAAATTTACCACATAAAAACATTGTATTTCATTAGAATGATTTCATTAACACAGAGTCTAGCTGTCTTCAAATTTACCACATAAAAACATTGTACAATGTTTTTATGTGGTAAATTTGAAGACAGCTAGATTCTGTGTTAATGAAATCATTCTAATGAAATACAATGTTTTTATGTGGTAAATTTGAAGACAGCTAGATTCTGTGTTAATGAAATACAATGTTTTCTTTGTTACATTTACAAAAAACATGCCAACCATCCTTTCCCACAGTCAGTCAGTAATAACTGACAGCCATAATATGCCCTAGTGGATTCTTATGACTATGAACAATTGGTCAGAGAAATGGCTTTAATGATGACCATTCTGCTAGATGAGCACTCATTATCATGCCTCTCTATGTCTTACAGATTGTTGCTCTTGCCCTTTGACTAGGAGGCTACTGTTATATGAATATACGTTTAAATTTACAAAGCTCCAGCAAGAACCTGACATATCACACAATCAGTTTCTTTTGAATATAGTAGAATTTGGAAAGTTCATCAAATGTGTGAAGGGGGGAGGCCCCCAATAAGACTAGTTTGTTTGTTGTTAATCACAAAGCTACATAACAGGTTATCTGTACTCCACCCACCATGGGTATCAGAAACCAGTTTTAGCATTAGAAGCCCTCAGACTTAGTGCTGAGCCATCAGGTGGCAGTGATAAGTTAGCATCTTTTATCTTTTTTTTTCAATTTAGCAGTTCTTAAATAGTAGTTTTAATTCCAACTATTCTGAAAAGTTTTCATTTTCAATAAATCTAAAAATATTCATATCTTGCCCAAAATTTTAATATCTTGCAAAATACAAATTGGAGGTCATTTGAGAAAATTTTTATATGCTTACTAAAATCACCATTTCTTTGAAAGCAAGGCCTAAACCACTATTATTTTACTTCCAGGAACTGATCCAAAACAACAAAGTTAGGATAATTTTAAATCATGAAATTACTTACGGCTGGTAGGGCAAAAAATGAAATGGCAAAAACAGAAAAACATGAAGCAACTATTTTTCCCATCCATGTTCTTGGAACTGTGTCACCGTAACCAATTGTTGTCACTGTTATCTGTTAAAGACGAATATAAAACAAACTTATCACGAGAATATTAGAAACTTTGTCATTTTAATAACGTACTCGAATTAAAAATGTTATTAGAATCAGTCAAAAAAGTTATTATCATTAGATACACACAGTTTTCTCTAATTACAATTCTTCAAAACCTGCATAAACTTATAAGGCTTACATCAAAAGTATTTTAAAGGGAAATAGTATTGCTTTCTGAATAAGTGTTACACTATTAACTTTGACATGTTGCACTTTGAGAAATCATTACTTCATATTTTGTATTACATTTATTCTATATATACTTCTGGAACCAAATTTAATTTAAAAAATTCCAATTCAAATTATATGTCTAATAAACTAAAAATAACTGGTTAATACAAAAATTAAACACTTATTTTTAATTAATTATAACAACTTTTAGCCCTTCCATTACAACCACGAAAGTATTCATGAGAGTAATTATACTATGATTTTTGATAATTTTGCAGGTTACTGGTAAACATTACAAGGTTTTTGTACACAAAATATGAGGTATTATGATATTTTAATTGAAGATTTTCTCGTAAACCTTTTTCTTTCAGAATATTGACTATCCAACATGCAAAGCAATTTTGATTTTAAGATTAAAAATACTTTAATGCATTAGAATATTTTTCAAATTTCCCAAGTAAAATCTTTATAATCTCCAGATAATTATCAAATTGTTTTTGAAAAACTTTATATTTTATTTGTTATTTTCAATACTGTATTTCTGTACAAGTTAGTTTGATTTGACCAACTTCGTAACTTCAATAAAAAATTAGGAAAAAAATATAAATTATGCTTTTTTCGTTCT